CCCTCCCTCCCTCCCTCCCTCCCTTCCTTCCTTCCTTCCTTCCTTCCTTCCTTCCTTCCTTCCTTCCTGTATTGGGACTTGAACTTGGCTTCAAGCTCTTGCTTGGCTTTTTCATTCATGGTTGGTACTCTGCCATCTGAGCTACACCTCCACTTCCAGTTTTTTTTTCTGGTTAATTGAGGAACAGGCTGGCTTTGAACTACAGTCCTCAGACTCCCACATCCTGGCAACTCAGGATTATAGATGTGAGGCACTGGCATCTGGTTGCTGTCTGTATTTTGAGTTTGAGATTGGTTTTTATCTGTGGGAGGAGAGGAGTGGGTCTTGGGGTGAGTCAGGAACCTCAAGCAGTCTACCCTTGATGGAGCAGATGGGCAGGGAGTAGGCTATAGCACCCTTGCTCTGCCTAGTAGGTTCTGAGTATTGGAAATAGTTGTTCAGAAAGATCTTTTTGGTCCAAATTTCATTTTAACCCTGACAGTGGTTTGTGTTGACTGTCATTTAAGGTTTTAGACGCCACAAAGCGGTTAGGCTGTGAAGAGATGGAAGGGTACGAACCTCTCAAAGCGCATCCATTCTTTGAGTCCATCCTGTGGGCGAATCTGCACCAGCAGACACCTCCGAAGCTCACGGCTTACTTGCCAGCCATGTCAGAGGACGACGAGGACTGCTATGGCAATGTAAGCTGGTACCTTGGAAGTGGCTTGGGCAACGTTTTTCTTGCCACGCTATGTGTACAGGAGCTTCATGCCTGTGTGCCACAGGGCCCCAATGGGTATGACTAGTGACTGAAATACGTGAGCCAGTATTGTGGATCCATTGGTGATTTACTTTGCTGCCTTGCGGCAGTACCCACAAACCTTGGGAAGATTCCTCCCTTTCTATTCCCTCCAGTGAGAAAGGGCCTGGTGGGGTGGGGGTCTGGGTAAGGGAGAAGTGTTTTGTCCTCGCTTGTTGGGTCATGCTCTTGTCCCTTGGCTCTTGGTGCAGGGACTCCCTGGTCACTCATCATTGGTGGCTTTTAGCACAGTGCCTTTATAATTGCTTCTAAGGCATTCTGGAATGCTCCTTTCCAAGCAAAACCAGGAGTACTGCTGCTCTGACCTTCCAAGAGATGTGGTTTTAGATGGTAGGCCCTGATCCCAGCAACTTAATATTCAGCAGGAGAGGGCCCAGTGCCTGGTCCTAGTCCTGAGTGGTGCAGACCCTGGCGTCTGTGAGCACCTGCCATCACTGTCCTGAAGGCCCTTGTGTTTCAAGGTTGACCCTAGTCACAGGGCCTGAAGCGTACTTTATTCTTTGTGTTTGTTTGTTTTTTTGTCCATTGGGGGCGGGGGGGCCTGAACTCTGGGCCTGGGCATGTGCCTCAGCTCTTCAGCTCAAGGCTAGCGCTCTACCACTTGAGCCACAGCGCCACTTCCGGCTTTTTACTTTTTGCTTATGTGGTGCTGAGGAATCGAACCCAGGGCCTCAGGCACGCAAGGCAAGCGCTCTACCACTGAGCCACCTTCCCAGCCCACATACTTTATTCTTAAAACCTTTCTCCTAGAAGCTGAGAAACATGCACAAAAGGGACAGAAAAGTCATGGAGCCTGCCATTACCTCCAGTCTTCCTCACCCAAGCTCTTCTTACTATCTTCCACTGTGGCCCCCATATTTAAAGTGATTCTGAAACTTTATTATCTTTGATAGTCCATTTTTCTGATTTGATCTGTCTTTGTGAGTTACTATTATTATAACTAATTATCATGCATCAAAGTCCATTTGAAGAATTCTAGCTTTGGCTAGTTTTCCAAAGCTAATTAGAAATCACTATTTTCACTTTTTTTTAAAATAAAGAATATTTCCATAGCTAGAGTACTTTTTTTTTTTTTTTTT